TGTGTTTGCAGTTATTACTTCCCGGTTGCTCACACCTTGGAAATCGATTTCTCCTTAGGAACCTGAAACAGAAGCAGTATTAGAGTAGGGCTGTATGACCTCAGAGTCAAGCGGAAAAAGTTTGAGGTCAGTCGCACGCAACCTGTTTGAAGTGGGTTTCGGAGCTATGGTCGTATTAAGATCTTGCTGCAGTTACGAACCACACTGTAATATTAGTCAGGATGTGCAATTTTTGAGGCCAAAATTTTCTAACCTCCTCCTCTGCGTTTTCAGAGTAAAGAGGTAGCATAGCTTGGATTCTGGTCATCTAAGGGAAACACTTTACTGTTGTTACATGCCTATTCATCAGTAATATGACTTTTCCTACAGACCTGCACCTGTTTTTATTTTTAACCGCTATCAAGATGACCTTCCTGGCAAGATAGGATCTGCAAAAACATTAGTTCCAGTCAGTGTAAGTTGTTGGGGTCGACCATTACGTTAAGGTAGTGGCTATCAGTTGGGTCGCTTAGCCGCAGACTGAATGAGTCCTCTCGATCTTCTTTCACTCACTTATTGTGTAATTCCATCTTTGAAAATTAACTATGTATATATATTTTTACGCAATTTTTATAATGATTGTCCCAATTTTTCAAAGGCAATCTCGAGGAGATATAATTTGCATGAAAGGATTAACGATCAAGATGTATTGTTTATCCTTTATGCAAATGGTCTGGTGTAGTATTGACTTCGATTATTTCACAGACGAATTTAGTTATGTTATGGAAGTGTAATGTGCGTCGGTGGCACAGCGGTTAGGACGCTGGTCGACCATGCACATGGTCCGGGGTTCGATCCACGGCCGACGAACTCCTTTACATCGCTAAACCAGAAATAATGCTGGTAAAGAGGAAAAGTTGGGCATGAGGCTAGCAACTTCATCCTGTAAAAGTAAACACTGCTACAGAAACTTCAAGCCACTAGCTTGAAGCCCTATGTTCCACTGGGAACTTGAAGGAAAACTTATTATTATTATTAAAGTGTAATAGTAATCGTTGACCTTATGAGTCTTATTTTTGTCTTTCAAAACGAATATAAGTAGCAGAGAAGTATTGAGTATTTTTTTTCTAACCTCTTTTTCATCACTGTATACAACTCAACCTCAAAAGAATAGTTTAAGTTCTAACATTTAATTAAGATTGACTGAAGTCATTATCTGGGAAAATACTGCCAGTTTCTATATATGTGGCAGATGAAATTGACCGAAATTAGTTCTAATTGTTTAACATAATAATTTAGTTGAGGGAAATTAATAGTTTAATAATGGATATAAGGTTTTCAATTCATGTGGACAATTCATGCTCGTATATACTACGGACTTATATGCAAAGTTGGAAAACATTCACGTCAACCAGAATTGATTGACAGCTGGATTGAAGTGATTTAAACAATAGGCGGCTGTTTTGCTGAATTATGCCGGAGCTCATCAGCAGCGTGGTCGGCCTGACTCAGCTTAGAGAGCCAAAACAATTCAGAAACATCCGAATTCTAGTTAGTCATTCGATGGTTTAAATACTGGTTCTTCCTGATCAGTTTTACTATACGGAAAAGTATAGTGTGCAAAAAGTTTATTTCACTTCACTTTAAACTGATATCTAAGATACATTTAAGACAATTTAGATTGTCAAATAGATTATCTATCTATTAAAGCCTTTGTAGTTCTATTTCACATTAAATTTGATGAATCCTCACAATATGTAAAGGTTTCAATATAAAGGTAATTAAACCAACTTCCCACTCAAATCGACTATTTTTAAATGCATCGACATTTATTAAACAGTGATGTCACACATAGTCTTAATTCTCTTTTAGTGCGCACCCACAAGTTTATACACTTGCCTAAGATATCCAAAATGGAAGACTAAACTTGTAACAATTTAAAAAATATTTAATGTTCAATGTATCAATGTGAAGGAATATGGCGGTAATATTTAAAGTTACACTCACATTATTTATAGGTGATACAGACAGTACATTAATTAGTTAAGTAGAGGAAGATGAAATCTACTTACTGTTGACCGGTTTACATGTAAACTCCTAATGTAGACAGTGTTGGTACGTTTGTGCTACGAGCTGGCATTTCAACCCAGACCGAGGATTTTGGTTAAATAAAATCAGTTAACGGGAAATATAAATTAACTGAAACAAATATAAAAGACCGATTAATGAACACAAAAATTCTTCTCGATAAATTCTTCATCAGGTTCTACTTTTATGTGACAGTAATAATTAAACAAATATCGTTATTAACAGCAATAGTGTTTAAAATCACATTGAATCAGTACTATTGACAAATAACATTTCAAAAACACCAATAAGAGATAATATGCATTATTATGACACTGAAATGGAGATAGAGATGGATTGCGTATACATTGAGGAAACCGTCGAATAATATCACGCGCCAGGCCATGCCTCAAGCGGAATCCAAATGGAAACGACGAGTGGGTCGTCAGTGAGAAGGTGACACGGAGCTGATCGTGTGGTGAGGAGGGATGAGAGATCATGGGCAATCATGGACCCAGCTGAAGAGGACAGCAGAAAATAGAACGAAGTGGAGATGTGTTGTTGAAGCCGCAGGTTCCACTCAGAACCCAAGGGAAAAATAAAATAATATAATAATAAATTGAACATCAAATAAATTAAGGGCCATTATACAGAATTTATGAATTTATAGGCTCGACAGCAAGCCATAGTAGCAGTTACCGCGTGAAACAACCGGAGCTGTGTGTGTGCAAAAGAAGCAGGTTCAGTCACCTTCGCTACCCTGGCTTGCTGCCGAGCCTTTCAACTCATAAATCCTGTATTACTTCCGTTAATTTATTTCACACTCAGGTTAGTGTTATATTGAGGCGCATTATCTCTCTGTCTTACTGATGCGTTTAAAATATAATTTATCAATATTACGATTGATTCAATGCCATTTCAAACATTGACGTTGTTTATTACAATTTTTCTTTAATTATTATTGTCGTAAGAATGTGGAACCTGATGATGAATTTATCGAGAAGAAATTACTTGTTCATTAATCAATCTTTTAAATTCTAACATACCCTAAATTACAGGAGACAAGATTTTAGACAGTAAGAATGGCCATATTTTAAGCATTATTGAGACATTTATTGTACATAAACTTCCAATGATAATAATAGTCACAGTAGTAATCGTATGAACACAACTAATTATTAGTTAGTGATAGGTAAATCTTTACATAACATGCATTATTTAGCAAAGGAATATGTCGAAAAAGATGTTAGCGAGAATATAAAAAAAATTAATACTTTCCAACCACCTCACTCCTGCCTCATGAAAGTCTAGTTGCTTTAGACTAGTTCGACGCATAATTAATTGATTCTGCTGTATGATTATTTATTAGTAATAAATTATTGATCAAAATGATGCTTAACTTTGATCTATTCTCAGAACGTTTGAGATGTGCATGAACCGTGTCATGAACCGACTAAAACAAAAGATACCCATATAAATATCGGTATATATTGAAATGCATATTAGATTTTATAGAAAAACTGATTTGTTTTTACAAGTTGATCACGGATCGATATCAGTTAGAGAAAGATTGAAAACCAACAGGGAGTACTGCCAGGCAGCTATTTCATCCCACTAGTTTGGGAATCATCGGTAGTACGCACTCACCAATAGGTGTTCGAACCCAGGACCTTCCGGTTACAAGGCAAGCTGACTAGTATACCATTCAGCTACTGGGACCCAATTCAATGGCCACCCCATGAATTCTAACTTCTACCAATTCTACTAGGTTCGAACCCCTTCGGTGAGTGCGTACTGCCGATGATTTCCTAACTAGGATGAAACAGCTGTCTGGCAGTACTCTGTGTTGGTTTTCAATGTTTCTCTAGCTGATATCGATCCGTGATCAATTCGTAAAAACAAATCTATTCCTTGCAAACCAACTATTGAAGATACTGATTTAGCTATATATATAAATATATCTTGAAGTGGGTTATTCTGAAATATCCCGTAGACTGATTGTGTCGGATAGAAATACTCGGTCTCTATCGACATGTCAGCTACCAGCACAGACATTTCGCACATGTCTGAAGATTAACATGATGTTTTATTTTGGTTCATGGTGACAATGGAAACCAGGATACCCATTACATCTTACTGAAGGCACTTATCAGCTGGATGTATCTGCATTCCCATTGACTGACTCTATCACCACTGAGACTCGAATCCTGCACCCATCACATCCCAACTGCCGAATTGTTACCCGCTAGGCCACTGAATGACGATAGCCACCTGTTTTGAAAGGAGTGTCAGTTATCATTTTCTTTTGGGTCAATTTACATTATCCATCGATAACGCCTTGAAGTTTACGAACGCAATCTTTTACTGAAGAAACATATGAATCTGGGTCAGACGAGTGCCAACAACAGAATGAAATATACATCTTAGACTGCACTGCTAGTCACAATAGGCCAAAACAACATCTTTAAATGTAGGTTAAAATGTGGTTTTTGTTTTTACCAGATGAGAGGATACACCATATAGAGCTGATGGTTATTTTAGCGCTAACCTGGGAAAAAGCAACCGCCATATTAATCATTATGGTTGTGAAAAGAAAACATTTTTGAACTTCAGGCTAACATCAACCAAAATCATAATCATACAACTCTTCCGCTTTTTCATAAATTGTTTCATTACGGTCTACTTGCTTACTTAATAAACCTCATTTACACATGTGTAAGCTGGCTGAATACAAATTAGGTGAGACATTATATTGTTTATTTAAGCTAATTCTTATATATATATGCTTAGCTAACTATTTTGCGCTAAAACAAAATTTCCACATGATTACCGACTAAAATTCATTAGTTTTAAAGTGGATAATTGTTTTGAGGTTTTAGAAAAAAATATACATGTATAGTCAAGTTATCTATTAAATACCATAACGACCATGCTTTATCTTTTCTGCATTTCAGATTTTGGTGGTGAAGATCACAGCAGCGATGAAACTGAAGGTGAAGTAAGCTGGATAGAAGGTGTTGCAATACTCTGTGCTGTTGTTGTAGTCGTTTTGGTGACTGCAACCAATGACTGGCAAAAAGAAAGACAATTTCGTGGCCTTCAAGATAAAATTGAATCAGATCATAAAATGTCTGTTGTACGAGATGGTGAAATGATAGAAGTATTAGTCGGTGATATTGTTGTCGGTGATATCTGTTTGGTTAAATATGGTAAGTTTATCATCTATGTTGTAGCTGTTATCTAACTATAGTCAATCATCACTTTTATGAATGTAATAACCTAATTCAAATTTTGCTTTTGTTTGCATGAATTTTCATCTTGAAAGCAGAATTTATGAGTTGGCTAATCTTCATCATCTCTTTTGATACTGTCTTAGAGTTATAAGTGAATGTGAAATGAGAATCCATATCAGGATGTGACTCGAAACAGGGACTTCCAAATTACTAATCAGTCTGGTGCTCTGCCAGAAGAGCTACGAAATCCAGGGCATCACTTTTACTGCAATCACCAGTGGTAGTGCATAACTGTCGTGTGAATTAGTGATACCTTACACTATCTGCCCAGTTAGCTGGTCTTCTCCCATCAGTCCTAATCACTACTGAATTATAAACAAAACAGTGGTGAAAGGATGACGTGGTTAGCAGCTGCATTTTGTAGGTGGTAGAGCACCAGGCTGAGTAATTCAAAAGCTTCCGTTTTGAATTCACTTCTAAGGCACATTTTCATTTGACTTCACTTCAAACATTACACATTACACCACTAACAACAGTCTGACAACTCAATACACCGTCTCAGATCTAATTATAAATATATAAAATTTTATCACTCCATTTAACGACAAGTACATATCATAATATAATCCTATGAATGATATGTCTTTTTATTTGTAGAAATTTTCACAAATCTATTTTCAATTTGAATTTACTGATCATTACACTCTTGTTTTCATAAGTAATCTACTGCATAAAATAAATTAGTCCATTTAAAAAAATAAAACTTTTTTACAAGTTTTAGTTTGTAGAAGTTGCGATTGTGGGATTTTTGTTACAAATCAACAAGGGGTACTGGATGGCTGTAACGTCCTATTTTGAAACTGTTCAGGAGTACCCACGCACAACCCCACAAAGAAGTAAACCATAGATCTTCAGGTTATGAGACCAAACTTGTTGACTCTTCAGCCACTTGAGCTGGAATTCAGTTATCTATAGATTCTAACTTTGAAGTGGATACACATCGAAGACACTCGTGAGGGTGGCTCTATATCACAAAATCACAAAGTAGCAATTTACTCCAGCAGAAGTGGGTGAATGGTCGTAACTTGAAGATCCCCAACTGAATATCTAGTGGATTTGTGGAGGCGTACTCTGAAAGAGTACCGAACTAGAACGAATCAGCTGTCCTGTACTCTCTGGCTTTTTCAATAATTTCTCCAAATGATGTTGATTCGTGACAAAAATCTAACAATGCAATTTATTCTCCATTGTACGCTGATATTTCGTCTTAGTTCATTTGAGACTCTTCAAGTGGACGAAACAGCTAGGCATTTGTCACTTACTGTTTTTTTTCCAACCAGTTCTCTACGTAAGAATGTCAGTTCGTGATGAAATCTAACTAAAGATGTTTAAATGTCTTATATATATATATATATATATTATGTTGATAAATTTCATTTATTCATGACTGTAACTCGTTTGGCAAACATTCATTATAATCCTGAGTGATTTAACTTCACGTACTCTCGAATAACTGTTATATATATATATATATATATATATTCGAGGACATTTCGAAAAGACAATATTTTCCCATGACCTGATAACCGTCATCGTCACATTTAACTTCAACTAAGGGGAAATATTTATTTCCTTTTCTCTGCCAATTATGATCATCATGACAGTTTTACAATGAGGAGAGAGAGATAGAGAAATTTAAAAGAAAAAAACAATTAAGAAAAGAAATGAATAAATAATATATATATCTTCCTTTCAAAAGCATTTTTTTGCTTCAATATTCATCATTCATGTGAAAAGGCGAATTTTTTCACGTCAAGAAATTCAACAAAATTCGGGCTTTTGTTTTCATAATTCAACGACTGCAAAATGAAGGACTTATAATAAATACTCACTCAGTCGATTTATTATTCTTATTATTTAACTCAAAAAAGAAATTGGTAGCAATTTATTTTCAGATTAACTTAATTAGGTAATCTCTTTGATGATGATGATGATGGTAGAGAATTCTAGAATATATTTGCATCTTCTGTGTGTGTGTGTGTTATTGTGTATTCAACATTTACCAAGAAACTATTGCCCTGACTTGAATATATTTATCACTATCTGGGAAAAAGTATTTAGCTTACATCTGGATTATTTATTGGTTAGTGTGCGATATAGACCTTTGAAGTATAAATAAAAGATAGCGCAAAGGTAGTGAGTGATATGTTTGCTTCTCCCCCTCCGTCCATCGTGAAACTTAGAGTAGGAAGCAACCGATTACAAGTGATGTACTTAGTGATACACCTCGTCGAGAAGCAGAGAAAATCAATTCAGAAAACTTATAATGCTGGTCAATTGTAGTTGATTTTTGTTTCCACACTTCCGAATATGATAGATAATGTGTCTCAAAGATGAAGTGTCTAGGATAGACGCCTCTCTTCGGTTGCTTTTTGTGGACCAGTTACACAGGTCTTTACTCTAGAAACTTACTTTTTGCGCTTGAAAACACTTATTACTCTGGCTAAACAAATATGTAATAAAAGCCATTAACAGTTCAACATCGGCATACCTCATTCAAACAGCCAGCAGAGAAGAATCATCTTCTGTTTTCTATCGTGTACGGAATAAACCTCCTAAGACCATTGGACACAAAATACTCCAAACAGGAGAATCCGTTGCAATTTACTTGAAAAGGCCACAGTTATACCTTTAAAAAAGGCGAATCCAGCCACTACTGCTACTTTGACATGCTATGAAACAAATAAATTCCTAAACACTGTGTAACGTCATAACTTTTGGACGTCACTTGTTTAGTACGATGAATGTTAGGTTCGACACTGAGTGGGAACACCATCAATCAATGAGAATGCAGGTACATCGAGATGGTGAGTGACAACTAGGACAAAATACGTATTCTGAATTCCTCTGCTAATCACCATCACCCAAATTAATACTGTAATAATCTTCAGATATCTTCAAATCAACCGTATTTGGATCAGACACTTCAACAGAAACTGGGTATTTCGATGCAGAGTAATCTGCCAATAAGGAATGTAATGTTTGGCATGAGATTCACCCCTGTAAAATCTAAGATGCTGCTACAGGACTGAACTACGTCAACGCATAGCTTAGTGATAGGGAGTAAAGTGATAGAACATGTTGACCACTTCACCTATTTGGGAAGTTGTATCAGCGCCAACGGACTGATTGGCGACGAAATCTCAGCACGGGTTCAAAAAGCTCGAGCTGCTTTCGTCAACTTACACCATCTCTGGCGTAGGCGTGACATCCGGCTATCAACTAAAGGACGTGTGTACTGCTCAGCAGTTCGCTCCGTCCTTCTCTATGACTCTGAAATATTGCCATTGAGAGTTGAAAAAATGAAAAGGTTGACAGTTTTTGATCATATATATCTACGATCTCTTTCTCACGTTAGGTGGTATAATAAGATAAGTAATGTTGACGTTAGGCGTAGAGTATTGGGCAAACAGGGAAAATCAATCGACGAGACTATAAAATTACATAGATTGAGATGGCTAGGTCACATGCTGCGCATGCCTAACCATCGCCTCCCCCGCCCGACGGGCATTACTAGCTGATATACGTGCAGGTTGAAAAAGAGTAAGTGGTGGCCAAATAAAAACATGGCCTCATCATTCCATGAAATCCTTGACAGTTAACTTGAGTCAGGTAGGGAGATGCAGACTTCCAGGTTGGGGCCCTTTGGACCCTAGGAATCAATGGCTGGAGACAATAGGTGACATGGCTAAAAATTGTTGTCAATGACAGTGCAGATGTATTCAGTCTCTGTAATCTTTCATATTCCTTTCTACCATTTCCCATTCTGTTTCACTCTTATACTTGTGAAACTCTATTAATTCTCTTCACTCATCTTCTTGTCTACCTTTGTGTGCTATTTAAAACGTGGCAACTCGAACTGGTGCACTTCGGTGCCAAGTTCTATGTTGAATCCAGATAGACAGACAGGAATGTAAATAACCCTAATCAATTGGGCAAGTGCATTCACAGGCATTTGTTTGCGGTCAGTAATCACCAGTTATTTAGGCATCTGGTGTTTGACTGTGAACTTTATACATCCACATAATATTGTGTCCATTATCAGTAAACTGTGATTTAATAGCAATTTACTCAAATACACCTACCTCTGTAATGCAAAGCTATCAGATGCCTTAATCGTTATGATTTGATTTTATAAGGAAAAAGACGTTATTGGCATTAAAAATAATCATTCCTTAGCTGATGCTGTTCTAAAGCCTGACAAAGTTATCGTTGAAGAATGTTTCTGGTTTACCAATTAAGTGTTTTTATTTATAATTGGTAATTAAAGACAGTTTTCTTTTAACTATCCGACAATCAATTTTTGTTATATCAACTTTAAATGGTTTTCGACGTTCATATTGGGATAAAAATAGTTATAAAACGGGAGCTAGCAAAATCATTGCACTGTAAGACACCATTATGTTAGTAACCATATACAACCAATGTGTCTATAGGATAACTACATTATACATATACATATGCATATATATATATGTATACATATAGGCATATTCATAGGCCATGTTCCTACAGATGATCAATGTTAAAAAAATACTTTTGTTTTTAGATTTTGTCCCGAACTTAAATCATTTAGAGAACTATTCAAAATAAGGGATCATTTTATAGCTGTATAGCTGTACTTCAAAAGGACTGACGTACAATCGTACAGGGTACTGAGTTGACCTTCCAATAAAATCTACACCAAATTCGATCAGAATCCTTAAGAACCAAAACAGTTAAGATTGTTTTTTCATTATCTTCGGAGAAAAATATTAGTTGCGTCAGCAATTCAGCTGTAAAGGATTGCTAATGACGCTACTAGTGGGCTGGGGTTTGAATTCTGACCGACATACTCTTAAACCTCGCTTATCCGGTATCTTTTCTATTTATTATAGCTTGATTCCACACAGTATTTTGGTATAACTATGGAATTT